GTAGCCCGCTCTACCCAGAGGATCATGATTTGAACAGTTTAAATTTACACTACACCAGCATGTTTTCACATACGTTTTTGTTATTCTGGCCCAGTGGTTCATGATAAGAATATTTTTAAAAGATGCTACACATTTCAATGTAAAACCTGCAATTCCAAATTATGGCCCCATCTTACCTCCAGGAGTCGTGATTTAAAGCAATATGAGCTGCATTTTTTAGAATTTTATTTTGCTGGTAAAATGTGTTATTGTGATGAATCTGTATGTAATCTTAACCCTTATGATCAATAAAACCAAAATAAAGTTCAAAAATGTTTCAGAAGAAATATTTCTGTACAAGTGAATATACAGAATTAGATAAGAAATCATTATTGTACAGGACGACAATAATTCAATTTTGCTTCAATCAAAGCGTATAAAAAGTTCTTTTGTAGAAAATATGAACAAAAGAAGTTTATAAATGTTCTATTTTGCTGTCATTGAAATAGTTAATTACAAATTTGCAAAATTTTTTCCGATGTCAAACATGCAGCTTATACTGCTTTAAACCATTTAGAATGTACACTACACAAAGAAGCTTTCACATAAGTGTCAGTTTTATCTGGCCTAGTGGTTCATGAGAAAAAGATGTTTAAAGATTTTCTATATATTTTATTGTAAAACTCTAGTTCCCCATTGTGGCCTCACCTAAGCCCTGTGGTGGGGATAATTTGTTCAATTTAGAATTCTACCCCCATATAATATATTTCGACAGAAGTTTCAGCTTTTCCTGCCCAGTGGTTTTTTAAGATTTTTAAAGTTTTCCCATATATATTTTTATATAAAACTTGTTTTACCCTTGTGTGTCTGTCTGTCTGTCTGTCTGTCTAGCTGTCTGTCTGTCCGTCCGTCTGTCCGTCCGTAACAAATTTTCATCGCATTTTTCTCAGCAACCATTCATCGCAGATGACTGAAATTTTAGCACAATCTTTGCCAAGGCATGTCATACGGTGGGATTCATTTTTGTTCAAATCCGATGTCAACTTCCTGTTTATCCGTCCGTCTGTCTGTTTTATACATAACAAATTTTCGTCACATTTTTCTCAGCAACTGTTCATCGCAGATGACTGAAATTTTAGCACAATCTTTGCCAAGGCATGTCAGAAAATGGGAAAATTTTTGTTCAAATCTGATGTCAACTTCCTGTTTATCCATCCATCTGTCTGTTTTATACATAACAAATTTTCGTCGCATTTTTCTCAACACAATATCGGTATATATATATAGTTCTAACAAGATGCTTTGGTTTCTATGTATTTTTACAGATACTTTAAGAGATAAACTTTAATGATGATAAAGAATTTACCTTAAATGAAAATAAATACTTAAAAAGTTACATTTCTTTAACTTAACACGTGTATAATTATTCACATAAAAGCATACATTCGTATCAGAGCGGGGGTATTACTAGTGAGCATTCGCTCACAGATTCCTTGTTTTATATAAAACTTAGATTCCTTATCATGACCCCACCCAATCCCAGGGGGTCATGGTTTGAACAATTTAAAATTTACACTACCCAAAAATTTCCACATAAGTTTCAGCTGTTATGACCATTGGTTTTTGAGAAGGTCTTTTGATGGCCCCATCCTATTTTTCTTTTATTGATCCCCCTTGTGAAGAGACTTTGTATGTGTATTTTAACAATTTAAAACATAAAATTATATAAAATGCTTTGTACCAAGTTTGGTTAAAATTGGCCTAGTGGTTCTTGAGAAGAAGTAGGAAATGTGAAAAGTTTATGGACGGATGGACGATGAACAAATTGTGATCAGGTGAGCTAAAAATGAAACACTCAAATTACTTTACAAAGAAAATACACAATGAACAGATTAATTTATTTTGATTTTTACTCTCTCGGTGTTTAAATAAAATAAGAGAAAAACTTGTCCTGATGTTTCAATCTCTGTAAAAGAAAATAATATAATAAATGTAGCTCTTTAATTCGGTCAATCCATAGATATATCGACTTGACAGAAAAGCATATTGACTTTGAACTTCCTGCTCGGTTGATAAGGTTTTCTGTGAAGTTGATATATTTATGGATTAACTTCATCAAACGGATATACTTGTATATAATTTTTTTTATATTTCTTTCAGAACATCAAAGTACACGTGTTGCACGAGAGTCAGAATAGGACATTAAAAAGTAAATTTGCCCAAAACCGAAAAATTCTGAAATACTTTTTTCCAGTGATAATTGAAGATGAACAAGCTGGACTCAAAACAACTGTCAATGTTCAAGGAGGAAATTGCCCAGAAACTTCTTCTGGGAAATTGTTAATAACAATAAATATTTAATTTTTAACGCAAAAAGCCATCCGGTGTACGGTCATGAATTAAAGACTGACGCAGTAGTATGTGTGTTTCAAACCAGTTAGAAACAGAATTATATATATTTCTTTTAAATGGTTTATTTTAAATCCTCGAAATTTTCATAATCACCAATTATAAATGGAAAGGAATTCACTCACAAATGTCATATGAAAGGAATTGAGTTCAATTAACTGTACTAAGTATTGAAAAAAGAACATATTGGACAAGGCGAGCAAAATGACTATTGTGTTATGTTAAAAAAAAATTTAGCAAGTGAAAAAATCTATATTATACCAATATTTTCCTTTACATTTCATTAACATTAATATAAAATCTCCAAAAATTGAAATAATTTTATAAATACATGTATTAAAATTATTCAATGAAATAACATGTATATAATAGATTGGGTAAAAATTATCCTCATTTTTTCGCTTCATTTTTATGTTGTTGTACTGCTCAGAGACCAGTAGAACTTCTGCTGAAGTAAGGTACTCCATCGTTCGTCTGTCTGTTTAACTGTAAACAATTTTTCATAGAAGCTGCTCTAAAAATTTTGTATTTTTGTGTGATTTAAATATAACTTGAGAAACAAGTAAATTAAGATATATCCACCCTCATAATTGTAATGGTTCAAAGTATAAAAACTACATTTATTTTCCTTTAAGGTATTTCCATCCTCTTATGATGTCATAGGTTTTTGTAAAATCTGATATTAATTTAGATTCATACCCAGTAGAACAAATTTTTTTGAAAGAATACTTTTCAAGAGGTGTAATGCTAAATATTGTTAATAGAACTTAAAAATGAATATTTTCATTAGTCAATCAATTTTTCAATCTTTAAAAAATTATGACAAGGACAATAATTCCTTCTCAGATATCTTCATTCAGACAGCCTCTGAATTGTACTTTTAATGTAAAATATTTTCCCTGATATTTACATTTTAAAATTATCTTATGAACAGGAAGTATTTTGAAACTCTTAGCATCAGAATTATGCATTTGAACCAGTTTTATATAATATTTGCGATACAATTTAAAAAAAAAAGAACGACTTTTTCATGTTGACATATACTTCTGTTTATTTATGTCTTCCATCTTAAATAGAATGGTGACTTATATATTTTGCGATAATTTTGAATTTAAACTTTAATAAAGGAAAATGAATACAATTTTTTTTACTCTGTACCATTAAAATTGTGAAATTGTGGAAAAAACTTAATGTGGTTTAAATTTAATAATTATTGCAAAAAAAGGATGGGCTGCCATGATATTTTTTAAGAAGGGAGACATATATAAAGAGAGGTATATATTAAGATTAAAAAATCATACATTTTTTGTAAACACAGTATTTTGAAAGTCACATAAAAACTGGAACACTTCAAATGTATAATTTTGATGCTGAAAAATACTTGCTACTTATAACTTATAAGACACTTTGGAAGTTTGAATTCTAGTATCAGAAAAACTATTTTACATTAGAAGAATGAAGATACCTTAGGAGTTATTGCCTTTGTCAACATTTTTAAGAAAGTATACATCTTTTAAATTATTTTATGTAACAATATTTATTATCACACCTATTGGAAAGCATTCTTCCAAAAGATGTTTATCTATTAAGTATAAATTGAAATTAATAAGTTTTTCCAAAAACCTATGACATCATACGAAGATGTAAATACCTTAAGTCAATACTGTTACAGATAAAAAAGCACAACCCATATTTTTCACAGATGCACTTTTCCTTATGCTAAGTCAATACTTATAACCATTTATTCTTTTTATTGGTGGGGGGGGGGGTGTTTCTGCCAAAAGGGTTTTGTCATAATTTCTTACCTATCAATAAGAATTTAATTCTAAATGCTAAATTTGAAAAATGAATGTGACTTTTAAAGATTGAAAAGTATAATCATTTTGCATGCCTTGTCCACTGATTTATTTTGAAAGTAACTATACATTTTTTTTAAAAATTGATAAATAATAAACAATAAATTTAGGATAAACTTTACCCATTTCACATTTGTTTTTAAATAGATCATGGAGACATTCTTCGTCTTGGACGAAAACAGCACCAGGCCATCAAAGAGGACTTTTTCAATCCCAAAACTTATACCATGGCAGAAGCGTCGGCAATCCCAAATGGAGAGAGAATTACACTCTCGCCGGTTTAAGTGAAGAGTGTAAGTAAATTACTCTTTCTTTCTCCTCTCTCTCTGTGAGTCTCTCTCTCTCTCTCTCATGTGTTAATAAGTAATTAATTTTTAAAAATTTAGGTCGGAGACATAACTATAGTGTCCAGTGGTTCAAAAAGAAGAGAAGTTCAGGTATCCATGGGTGGAAGGACAGCCCTCCTTACCCTTTGGGGTAAGGAGTCCGAGCAGTTAGTTACTCCTGAGGCAATGTATACAATCAAATGCATACAACCTGCAAACGACTGGAATAACCAGCGGTGTTATTCATCAACACCATTCACGACATTTGAGGTAATTAAAATCTATTTATATTTTATTTTGTTTATATTTTGTATTTATTTTAAAATAAAATATATATATATATATATATATATATATATATATATATATATATATATATATATATATATATATATATATATTTAAATGGTAAAAAATAACAGAACGCCGATTAAAACTCTACCGGTTTCAATTTACCATTTGATTTTATGAATGCCACAATTAGAATGCTTTTTATTGTCAATGTGTCAAATAGTAACATGTTTTGAATTAAAATGAATCACTTTCAAACTAATTTAAAAATCCATATCTAGAAATTCTTAAATAACTTCAGTGTTCTTCATCGAGTTCCTTCATAGAGATGAAATCCCTCATAGCGGGGGGTATAGGAAGTAGGTGGAGGTGATGGTAAAACGCGAGACCGAGGTGGTGCCTGATCCACTGGCGACAAATCTGTTTTAACGTCAGCATGCCCTCTGCATGTTCCAGCCAGTGTTCAATGTCTTTGTGGTGGTGTATTCTCTCTCTGAGTTCAGTGTCTTTAAGTCGAGCTCGTAAATGTCCTCTGTCAAATCCAGTAAGTACGAAAAGCTTGATCACGTCAAACAGGCCTTCTGAGAGGGCCAGTCGGACCGGGCAAGCTTCAGAGGGAATTGTGGGTAGGCATTGAAATGTGTCGACAAGACAATTAGCTCGTAGAAGGAGTTTGACTACTTCAACGTGCTTGTTTTTGATGGCGTACCACAATGAAGTTTTGTGGAATTTGTCATAAATATTAACGTCTGCTCCACCAAGGATAATGTCTTTGATGCAGTCCGGATGACCTTTCCAAGCCAAGATATGCAGAGCTGTTTTTTTGGCTGAATTATTCTGCACATTTACATCACAATGTGCTCTCACCAATGACTTGACCACCTCATCAAATCCCTGACTAGCTGCCATGATGAGAGGGGTGATATTGTCCTCGTCTCTAACATTGGGATCCGCCCCAGCAGCCAGCAGGAGATTTACCCCTCCCGCCTGGTGACTGGCGTAATGTAGAGCGCTACATCCCTCTTTATTCTGTATATTCACATTACATCCAGCTTTGACAAGAACGTCTAATGCCTCATAATTTCCATACTTTGTAGCAATGATCAAAGGGGTATTTCCACAGGAGTCCCGTAAGTTAATTTTAGCTCTGTGAGACACTAATAATTTGAGACACTCATTGTGGATAAGTTTGGCTGCCATGTGGACCGGGGTAGTCTGCCCAGGACCTCGGACATTTACATTACAGTTAGAGTCCAAGAGAATTTCCACCAAAGCAGGTTTGTTAGATTCCACTGCTAAAAATAGAGGGGTTCTCCCATTGGTATCTTCTATTTCTGTGTCAATGCCTGTGGCGAGGATGCACTGAATGCATTCGGAGTGACCTAGTTTTGAGCTCTGTAGGAAGGCAGCCTCTAGTTCCTGCTTACTGATGGATTGTGGGACTGCTAGGAGGACTTTCAGAAAGCGAGGGTTGTTGTTGTTCACCGAGTCCAGGAGGCTAGTTAAAAAAATGAAGTTAAATGTGTTACTGTACATATACAATAAAATTTGGTTATAACCAAGTCACTTGGACCTATGAAATTACTTTGCTATTATTATATGTAATTTATTATATCCCCATAAGGATTCATTAAATTTATTTAGCTGGGGATACAAAATAACTTTGCTATATCCGTGAAATCGCAATATCTGTGTTAGTACTAATTAAAAAGAGATTTACTGTATAGCCTACTCATCTGGTAAACATATGTTCATCTGTTTGCTATAGTTCTGAGCAATCTGGATTTTTCTGGAATTTTGCTGAATTTTTTTGACAGATTTTTTGCCTCACATGAAAAATTATTGTTACCCTTCTTTCAAGGAAGAATTTTAGTTCTGATGAAAATTTAAGTCACTTAGCTGCATAATATCATGAACACAATTAAAGGGGGCTAACTCTTCCAAATTCTAACTGAAAAATGCCATTGAATCATGACCTACTTTCTTAATATTGTTACACTGTATGAAAGCATTTTATAATCTGCATTATTATTATAGGTAGTGCATTCGGTTTCTATACCTTTACAAAATAAATTTAACATCTCAAATCCATTAATTTATTGACATACATCTAGCCAATATAATCTAGAATATTTACATGAGATAAATTAAGTTTATAAGTCAAACATAATTGTTACAGAGCATAGTAATACAGATGCTTACCTGGCCATTTTGCCTGAGAGGAGAGATGAAGGAGACTCTATTTTTATCTCAGTGCAGCAAAACAAAAATCAGCAGCTGTAATTGATAACATTAGGGGAAGATAAATCTGTCAAAGGCTTAGAGTGTCAAAAGAGTCGCAGTTGTCTTTCTTGATTTGTTGAGAAAGAAAAGTTTTATAATCCCTCTGTATTACAGTGGCTTATTCTGGGTAGATATATTGCAGTGAAGGATTTTGTTTTTTATGTTAAGTTTGCAACCAAATGTACTTGCAATGCTACTGTATCGTCATGTAATATTTGTTCATTGATACTTCAATCATTCCAGTGCTTTGGGGTTAAGGAGATGAGTGATGAAATATACATATATTTTGGTTCGGCTAAATTTCTTATCCTTCCTGATTATTGATGAAATGGAATTGGAAAGCAAGATTTAAGTAAATTCTAAACTTGATAAAACCATCTTTTGCATGATCTTGATTATTTGGGGCTTTCCTCTTAGCTGAGCACTTCATGAGTGTAACAAGTGAGGCAATTACATGTCTTTTAAATTTTCTCACTGAAACAATCTCATAGTTTCATATGTTGAGAGTTGTGTTCTCCAATCAGTCTGCTTTTGAAGGAATTATGGGTCCAAATAATGTTTTGTATAATGGTTAGAAATAACTTAAAGGTGAAAGATGTTTCTTCATAAATACTTTTCAGTATTAGCGAATTGGGAAAACATCCTAATACCGGTTTGCAAATATTTTTATGCGCCCGAATTTTTTCGGGGCGCATATTGTTTTTGTCCTGTCTGTTTGTCTGTTTGTCTGTTTATCTGTTTGTCTGTTTGTCTGTTTGTCTGTCTGTCTGTTGTCAACTTTAACCTTCGCCAAAACTTTACCGCTAGAGATAGAGACTTCATATTTGGTATGCATACTCCTCTAATAAAGTCCTTTCAAATGACATCAAGGTCAATGACCTTGTGACCTTGACTGTGACCTATATGCTAAAAATAGCTTTTTCCAGTGTTTGTCATAACTTTTTAACCATAGGAGATAGGGACTTCATATTTGGTATGCATACTCCACTAATAAAGTCCTTTCAAAGGACGACAAGGTCAATGATCTTGTGACCTTGACTGTGACCTATATGCTAAAAATAGCTTTTTACACTTTTCGCCATAACTTTTGAACAATAAGAGGTAGAGACTTCATATTTGGTATGCAAATGCCACTAATAAAGTCCTTTCAAATGACACTAAGGTCAATGACCTTGTGACCTTGTCTGTGACCTATATGCTAAAAATAGCTTTTTCCACTGTCTGACATAACTTTTTAACCATAGGAGATAGGGACTTCATATTTGATATGCATACTCCACTAATAAAGTCCTTTCAAAGGACGACAAGGTTAATGATCTTGTTACCTTGACTGTGACCTATATGCTAAAAATAGCTTTTTACACTTTTTGCCATAACTTTTGAACAATAAGAGATAGAGACTACATATTTGGTATGCATACTCCACTAATAAAGTCCTTTCAAATGACACCAAGGTCAATGACCTTGTGACCTTGTCTTTGACCTATATGCTAAAAATAGCTTTTTCCACTGTCTGTCATAACTTTTTAACCATAGGAGATAGGGACTTCATATTTGATATGCATACTCCACTAATAAAGTCTTTTCAAACGACCTTGACTGTGACTTATATGTTAAAAATAGCTTTTTACACTTTTTTTTTTATGATACTGACCCTTACTTACTCTGAACTTTGATTTTTTTTTATTTTTAATGCAGAAGTGAATTTAAAACATAGAAATATCTACAGTAAAACTTGGTTGTAGAGAACTCATTTATAATGAATATTAACACTTACAGTAAAATGATTTTCTTTCTCTAGTGATCAAAAATGTATTGTAAACTTTACAAATAACGAATTACACTTATGAATCAAAACACTGATGTTTTCAGATTTGTTCAGTCGATTTGTAAAATTTTAAGAAAAATCAAGTCCTTTTAAACTGAAAAAATATGGACTAGAAAAAGTGTCATCTGCTTTTCTGCTTTCTGTAAGAAAAGCCCAAGGAGGATTTTGTAGATTTCCCAACTCAAATTAATGATCATCGCATTCGTACAAGGTTTTAAAAGGACTATTTATGAGTGATTGATGTTGTTCGTTATCAATATTTTCTACTTTTAGATCATACTGTGAGAGAAGTGAATTCCATTAATTGTGATTAAATACGCCAATGCAGTTTAAACATATTAATCTCACTTCTTTTGATTTCAAACACCAGCTTACATAACTGATGAAACTCGGGTCTTCGGATGCTTACGTTCCTTTGTAAAACCAAGGAGTTACTTTATTCAGTCTGAACATATTGACAACTGTGTCAAAATTTTCGAATGCCATACCAAAGAATTATAGAAAGTGTGAAATGGAGTTAATTAATTATCTGGCATACGTCAAGGGTGCAAAGTCTCCACTGACAACTTGTGGAAAAGAAGGAGTTACGCGTTATCTTCTTTTAGCCTTTGATCCAGGTTTTTAACAGATTCACTGATGAGCCTGTTTATGGACTACCTTTTAAAACAATGACACTCAAATTTCGCAGGTGCGGGCTTTCACTTGAAATTTTTCCAAAACGTTTCGGTAACTCGGATTAGTCAGGATAAAGCTTGCAGGGGATCAAAATAATTCCAGAATTTCCCACACAACAACCCAGCTGGCCACCCGAACACATCAAAATTTATATGATAGATACACTTTCCATTTTGGAAATTTTAACACCTTAGGGGTGGAAAGAGGCGATCAATCAAATAGTTTTCCCTTGAAGCCGGACCAGGAAAGGTAAATAATATTTAGTCAAACAAGCCGATACCTTGGTCATCAAACACCACAAGAGTGTTTGTCCGATCCTTCTCAACATAGAAACCGAGCCACTTGATTGACAGAGATTTTCACCCAGGATGTTTGGGGAACCTAACACTATCTTTGCGCTGGGGTATCGGAGATAGATAATTGTATTGGAATCAGGGTATTATCTGACTATGGCTCCCATCATTATCACAGCTAATGTTAAATCAAGGAGTCATCTGTCACTTACTTATCTGCTTATGAACCTCCTTATAACAAATGGAGTAATCCCTTTGTTGAGCAATATACCTGTGCTTTATATTTCTAGCTCATTTTTTAGCAGGTAAAATGATCTGAGAGAAAGAGATAGAAAGTTTTCTCTTGGGTTTTCTTGGGTTAAACTGCTTTTTTCAACCAAAATTTTGCTGCATGTAAAGCTGTTGTTTTCAAATATGGAAGAACATATAAATAATATATAGACTGATGGACAACTTAAATTGGATTATAATAATCTGCATGTATTTCTTTACATTTACATGTATATCCAATACTGAGTTCAAGATCGGACAGCTACATGTATACCCCTGCTGCAAAGTTAGGTTTATATACTGAATGCACTACATGGTTTAACTTATTAAAATTTGTATCTTGTCTGAAGACCAAGACTTGACAAAAGGATTTTATTAATGTAATTAAGTTTTAAGCTAACAAGCTTCCTTGAGTACGTAAATTCAGTATGAAAATGGAAAAGTTTGATTTTTTCTTCTATTTCTGGTGTATTTCAACACGAGTTTGTTTAATTAATTTCCAATGATAATCATTGCCTTTGTGTTCCAGATGATGTCTTTGAACACGAGTCTTCAACATGATATTTGCCGTTTCATTAACTTCAATTTGCTCAGGGAAAAAATGAAAGAGAATTTTATGGTTTTGAACTGGGGGAGATTTCTACGGCTGTTTCTCTGTTGTTAAGGGCCGATCTTTGATTGTCTTCTGCAACCAAACTATGTCCCCTTCTTCTGTAAATGTCAACATTTCCTTTTCACACTGTGAGTGTTGACATTTTTTCTTTGGGATGATTTTTAAAATCTATTTCGTTGCTGACTTTCGCTATTTTCCCGGCTTGAGAAAGGATATGTCAACAGTCGCACATATTTCTGAGGTATGATCGAAATACGCGGGATTAGGGATTCATTGATCTGGCTCTGTGCCTTAACCCCACTTCACCAACTTTTAGAGCTGACTAAATCCCCCCTGTCTTTTGATGTCTGTCATTCTAACCACACAGCTATTACACATCAGCTGGGTAAATTCATTTTTCGATTTTTGCGTTATGAATATCTAAAAAGGGTCAATTCCTAGCTATATGTTTTGTTTTGATTAATTTTCAGATATATCAGGCAATTAATTAAATTGGAATATTTGCGTATGATTTAAAGAGAGAAAATCATACCTATTAAATAAAATGTACATATAAATATTTTAAGTATCATGTATACTGAAAGGAAAAAGAAACGCATAAAAGCATAATAGCGAAAAATATTAAACTATGTGGCCGAAAATTATGAAAATTGGTCAGATGTGTATTTTGGTTACTGTGCACTAAAATCGCTGTTCAAAATTACTCAACCATGAAATGTATGGTGTCACATAGGCAAAGTGATAAAAAGCCAAATACATGTGCATGTTGATGATGACAATTTTGTGATCACATTTTGTAGTGCCAAGAGATGCATTAGAGTTATAGACATCGTTTTCCGATATTTGCAGTCAGTATGAATTTCTTGCAATCATGGTATGGCTGATGGAAGTTACATTGGGTCTAGTAATTGAGTTCCATAAGTGAATAAAAAGGCAACAACATGTTGCTGTGCAGTTTGTTTTTAACTTTTTAACCAAATAAGTTTTTTCGGTTGTCAGAGAGTAACTTAAAAGGTTTCCAACCAACCATGAGGGTGACGTTGGCGCATAACAACGTCACATCAATATAAGGCTTTTCATCATGCTATCTCGGTTATTGTCAAGTCATTATCACTGAAACCGATATTTTTGCGGCAGGCAATCCTACTCATATTTTCACCCTAATACTGACAGAAACTCTGCTCTAATTTGGTACGCAAGCCTGGCAACTTTACGTCGATTTTACTCTCACACGCGCACGTACGCACTGTATGCATATTGCTTTTAGCATGTTTA